CGAAGAAGAGCGCCCGACAACCTTCCCCGTTTCTGCACCAAAGTACATAGTTGAGGGCTGAGCAGCTGAGTCCTACTAGAAATGGCTGCCACAGGAGTTCTTCCCTTCATAAGGGGGGTAGACCTAAGTGGAAATGACTTCAAAGTAAGAATTTTAAGCGCTGTTAATTCAGTTTAGCTGCTAACACGCCGAGCTATGTTGCTAAACCTAATGTAAGTTTGAGATTCGAAATGGCTAAAGGCTGAGCTCTCTGAGCATTAGCTTAGCTAAACGCATTGGGCGTTAGCCAGTCAAATGCTTGACATGGATCGAGTCGAACTGGTATCGCCCACAAGCGTCCAGCCTTTTGGTTAACACATTTTTAGTTAAAACGAGTTTGTGAAGGGCCTTCTTTACCTGCTTATATTCTATGATAACGTTAATCTTCTTTCAAACATCAAGCTAGCTAGCCAAATTAGCTGCATTTTTGGCTAACGTTAACTTGTCTGTCAGAAGCCCAAGCTCTGTGTCAGAACATGTCAATGTTAGTATTGAGTTTAGATAATTCTGTAGCCAAGACCACGTTAGTTACCGTGATAGCGTTTGTTGAGCGTTGTCACACTTTCAGGTTTTGACACATTTTACAAGCTTAGTCTGGGAAATTGGAAAAGGACCCCGCAGGCAGCATGTGACAGCTGGGGTCATCTGGCATGAGCTAAGAGAAGTATTTGTGTGCTTATTGCTAGCTGCCATGTCAGTATAAAAATAGTACAAATAAGATGGCGAATGAGCTTTTTCATATATCAGTCGGAGAATGACTGATCGGGTCCAATTTAAGATGACCTCTGGTTACACCTTTTCAACTGCCAAAATGTACCTGACTATAAATCATAACACAGACACCACAGCTCGTGTGCTGCTGCGTTTACTCGTATAGCTGATTTATAAATGACCGGAGTTCAGATTTGTGCTGTCAACTCTCAACCAAAGTGACGTGACATAAAATCAACAAGGGTGATGTCAGCCTTTATTTACAAGTTTGAAGTGGGACATTATGACATTTGGTAATTGTGTGGGCATGAACATTTCAAAACAAGTTTACAAATAGATCTTTTAAATTATTTGCAGTCATTGCCTTAAATGTCTTCTTGCAGTCATAGTTAAGCAGATATATATTTGTATTAAAGTAACAATATCTAGAAACTTGTCAGGTTCCAAATTATTTTTGTAAATAAATGTCAGTAATATGTGTTAAAAGCAGTTTTATTTGCACTCTCTTCCACCTCCATCATGATTTAGCACAATTATAGTAGAAAAAAAGTCACATTGGTAAATAAAGTCAGCATCACTGTGTTGTATCTCTCACTCCTGTCTCTCTGTGCCCGTTTTTAAAGGGTGGCTACTTCCCGGAGCATGTCAAGTGTATGAGCAGTCTGAGATGGCTGAAACTGAACAGGACAGGACTGTGCTACCTCCCAGAGGAGCTGGCCTCTCTGCAGAAGCTGGTGAGACACTCAGGCCTATTTGCTTTTATTGTAAGGAATGGTTCTTTTTTGATACTGTGAGTTTTGTTTTTCACATCAGCCACCCAGTTCTGTCTTGTTCTCTTTATACTGTGTGCATCACCATGATTATTTAGTTGATAATGTTATGTTGGTGTGTCTCACAAATTTATATTGGCCATGATTATTTAGTTGATAATGTTGTGTTGGTGTGTCTCACAAATTTATATTGGTAGTCATAGGTATGTATTTTCATTGTACTTTTGTTCTTTCTTTATTATATCAGACTAGATTACATCATCTAGTTGTTAATCTCTGAGTCCAAGCATACCATCTTTCATCTTTTTATGTGTGGTAACAGAGGAGATCATGGATGTGTTTCACTGGTTAAATCTCAAAGCCCCGCGCAAAGCCTCAATATCTCAGATAGGATTATCTAATCAAAGCCTCCAAAGTAGAGATCAGCAGGTCACCAAAGGTGATCTGTGCTTACTAGGTATACTGTAGGTAAATAAGATTAGTTGTTACCATGGCCAGTAGTGACACTGAGTTTTGTTTAACACAGGTCTTCTGTTTAGAGAATTAGTGCAAGTGGTACATTGCGTAACAGTGACCAGGGAACTTTGTAGGGTGTAATTATATTTTGTGTAGTGCACTTATGAATCTGTAGATAAAACCATTTCTTTCTTTCTTTAGGAGCATCTTTCAGTGAGTCACAACAGTCTGACCACCTTACATGGAGAACTGTCCAGCTTACCGAACCTACGGGTAACTGATGTTTCTACACAAATAACAAAATACACATAAAACACATGCAGATTTATTTCCAAAATATATTCTAGCCTTACAAAACAAAACTCCTGAATTGTTGAATTCAGTGTTATACTTTTATTCACATGGGCCTAACCACCATGGTGTGTTTCTACTTGTACCAGTGTGTAATGTGGTTATAACACTGGCCTAAAAGTATCTGATTATGTGTGCAGGCAGTGGTAGCCAGAGCCAACAGCCTGAAAAACTCTGGAGTCCCAGATGACATCTTTCAGCTTGATGACCTCTCTGTACTGGTATAATGACCTTCTCACCTTACCATACCCTTTCAGACTTTTAGCAGTCAGTCCACACTTATTTTCATCAACATGTATCATTTCCTCAAAACCAGTACTGTGTTTTTTCATTTAGGACCTGAGCTACAATCAGTTGACAGAGATCCCCAGGGACCTGGAGAACAGCAGGAACATGCTGGTGCTGAATCTGAGCCACAACAGCATCGACGCCATCCCCAACCAGCTGTTCATCAACCTGACAGACCTGCTGTATCTGGACCTGAGCGACAACAAGCTGGACAGCCTGCCACCCCAGATGAGACGCCTGGTGCACCTGCAGACTCTCATATTGAACAACAACCCGCTGATGCATGCCCAGCTGCGGTAAGACACGACTTTGTTTCTTTGGTGTTGTTGTGTTACATTTAAAAGCAGGTGGTTAGAAAACAGAAATGTCCATTTATTTGGTGCTGCTCTGATTGACATCATGTGTGTGTTTGAGCAGTCAACTGCCAGCCATGGTGGCATTACAGACTCTCCACCTAAGGAACACCCAGAGGACCCAGAGCAACATGCCCACGAGCCTGGAGGGACTCACACATTTAGCAGGTAACAAAAACACACTCTCTTGTTTCCTCAGCACTTATTTAGGGACCTGCCACATTCTCATTTCTTGCTTTCTTGGCACTTAGACCTACTTTTTTTTTTTTTATACAAATGTGTTGTATGCATCCTCACACTCCTTTTCAACTTTTTCCAAACATCTGGTCCCTCTCCCAGATGTTGACCTGTCATGTAACGACCTGACTCGAGTGCCAGAGTGCCTCTATTCACTGGGCAGTTTGAAGAGACTCAACCTGAGCAGTAATCAGATCTCTGAACTCTCCCTGTGCATTGACCAGTGGACCCAGCTGGAGACGCTTAACCTGAGCCGCAACCAGCTCACTTCCCTGCCGGTAAGGATGGTAACAGTTACACAGGTCTCTATGAGCCCGTTTTCAGAATCGGCTTTATTGGCCAGGTGTGTTGGACACATGAGGAATTTGACTCAGTATAGCGGCTCTCAATGTGCATGTACATGTCCTTATGTAAGGCAGCAGTGGGCAAGTAAACAGTGTAAGGCTGAGAACAGAAGTAATGTGCAATCAAGCAAAGGAATAAAATAAAGTACTATATACACACAGTCTGGATTCAACAGATCGATATGTACAAGGTATATTTACAGGTATTACACTGACGGTTATTGTCCAGTCAAACTGTTGTTAAGTGTTAATCAGAGTGACAGCCTGGGGGAGAAACTGTCCTCCTTAGGAGCAGTGCTTAAGAGGTTGTATAATTGGGAGTTGTTGCAGTATTACAAGCAGAAACAAACAGATGAATATCTTCAAATGTGGGGAAATAAAGCCAAAACCCGGTGTTTGATTGGGGCGAACAAGCTGTTTAAGGACCATAGTGATTAAGTGAGGGATTTTTTAACATAAAGTACTTTCTAGGTAGAATACAGTACTGTTGATCAAGAATTAATTTTGATGCAGTCCACTGTGTACTTTCTTTACATCTTCTTACATTTAAAGTTGTCTTGTGTGTGTCCTTCCAGTCTGCCATCTGTAAGCTGTCCAAGCTAAAGAAGCTGTATATAAACTCTAACAAACTGGACTTTGACGGAGTTCCACCAGGCGTGGGCAAACTGTCCAGCCTCACTGAGTTCATGGCCGCTAACAACAACCTGGAACTCATCCCTGAGGGTCTCTGCAGGTGGGCTTAACACACTGATTGCTTTGATTTGATCAGCTCCAAGTAGTTATTGTGATTTTCATTCTCTGTTGCTAGACTAATGATATTAAAATAGAATAACATGAATTAATTTATTTAGTAGGAAACCAAGGCTTACAATTTACATCTTTATTCTGTCAAAAAGCTGAAGGTGGTAGAGCAGTACTACTGCTGATGTCTGACACATTTTCTCACCACACAAGAATATGAGGTTATTTGAATAACCAAAACTGTGGTTTTGTGTTGTTCTCTAGGTGTGTTAAGCTGAAGAAGCTGGTGCTGAATAAAAACCGTCTGGTGACACTGCCTGAGGCCATCCACTTCTTGACAGACTTGGAGGTACAATCCACACGAACACATTGCGAACAGCATATTTTATCTTGTAAAGAATGTAGGATTTGTGAGTCATGGAAAGCTGTAACCGGTTACTGACCTCCCTCATGTCACTGTTGTGTAAACCAGAAAGTATGTTGTTATAAACATAAGATATGATAGAAAAATAAAATAAATTAGGCTTGGATAAAGTATATTACATAACATTCATTAGAAAAAACATGGGTTTCCACAGCAGTGTGTTTAAGGAAAATGTATTACTATAAAGTTGTACAATAAATTAGATAAAATTTAAGATGTTAGAAGACAAAACATTTAATGCTGCAAATTCTTTAAACCAAACCTTCTCGCCAATTCACCTCGTCGCAGATACTGGATGTGCGTGAGAACCCCAACCTGGTGATGCCTCCTAAACCGGTTGACAGAGGGGCAGAGTTGTACAACATTGACTTCTCCCTGCAGAACCAGCTCCGGCTGGCTGGGGCCTCACCTGCTGTTGTAGCTGCAGCTGGAGGAGGTGTGTGCATGTGACTGTGTGTTTGTGTGTAAAGCTTGCAAATTAATTCACTTGGACGTATTGGTGCCTTTTGTTCTACTGTAATTTCAAGTAGTGGATCTTCTAGAGGCTCAAATCTCCATCTGTGTGTACGTTTATAGGAGCCAGCCCTCGAGATCACCTGGCGAGGAAGATGAGGCTAAGGAGGAGGAAGGACTCTTCTCAGGATGATCAGGCAAAGCAGGTGCTGAAGGGCATGAGTGATGTCGCACAGGAGAAGAAGAACATGGAGGTAAGGAAAAGAGAGAGAGGAGGAGGAGGAGGAGGAGGAGGATGGTTTCTTCGGTCTTCTGCGTCCTGGCAGTGTCAGGGAGGTGGTGCATCCACTAGTGTGGTGCCACTAAAACAACAAGCTGTGCCTGCTGTTGACTGGCTGTTGTTTTCCTGAATACATTAGACTAATGTAAATGTATCACAGCATCACTTGGTTAACTAGTCCTTGGAGAGTTTCTTTGGTTTAGAAATCCCTCCAGCAACCTTGTAAAGATTTGAGTAATGAGTAGGAGACACAACAGTTTTGATTTACACTTTATTTAGCCAGAAATCTCCTAATTGTGCAGGAGAACGGGGACTTGAAATATGGTGATTTAAAGATCCGACGTTGGGACAAGAGTCTAGAGAAGCCTCAGCTGGACTACTCGGAGTTCTTTTTAGAGGATGTGGGGCAGGTAATATATCTGTATTTGTGTGCGTGCATGTTTTGTTCAAGTTTGCAATTGAAACTTGTCTGGGGGGGGGTCATTTATATGTTTCCTCACACACCACACTTCTCCTCTCTACAGGTTCCAGGTGTAACTGTGTGGCAGATAGAGAACTTCATTCCCGTACAAGTGGACGAAGCTTTCCACGGCAAGTTCTATGAGGCCGACTGCTACATCATCCTCAAGGTAATACATCAAATCTGCCAACAGCTGACGTGAAGACTGTCAGTAGTTAAATCTGCATCAGACACATTGGACCTCAACAGTCACAATAATTAATGTTAGGTACTGGATGTGCCGAGGTGGATTGTGTCCTCCAATCGCTCCCATCTGTCTCACGCTCTTCTTCTTTGAACACAGACCTTCCTGGATGATAATGGAGCGTTAGCCTGGGAGATCTACTACTGGATCGGCCAGCAAGCCACGCTGGACAAGAAGGCGGGCTCCGCCATTCACGCCGTCAACCTGAGGAATTTCCTTGGAGCAGAGGGCAGGACGATAAGGGAAGAGATGGGAGACGAGAGTGAGGAGTTCAGCGCTGTATGTTCGAACACACCGTACTGTACAGCAGATACATCTGAATGTGTATCTCATTTTTGTAGCAAGGTGAATACTCTTTGTCTTGTGTGCAGGTGTTTAACAATGAGATCTCCTACATCGAGGGAGGAACAGCCAGCGGGTTTTACACTGTGGAGGACACACACTATCCTCACAGGTAGAGTGGAAGCAACCTTTATTTACAAGTCCAGTCAGATTTCTTTTATTATTGATCTTCATAGGGATGTTTTGGTTTTATTCTCATTTATTCTCAAATCAAGTTTATTTAGGTCTGAATCATTTTTTTATTGAGTCAGCATTCTGTGAACATTTTTATCATCTTTTCATTGTTTTTGTGCTTTATCAGGTTGTACAGAGTTTATGGAAAGAAAAACATCCGGCTGGAGTCTGTACCTGTGAAGGCTTGCTCCCTCGACCCTCGGTGACTCTCACACTCCATCCCTGCACTGTACACCACGTTTTACACACTTGCGTAGTTTGCTACACTGTCCAGCACACACACTCTCCTCCTAATGCTTTTGTGTCCGTCTTTTCTCTGTTTAATGTAATTAGTACTTTTACTGTAAATTGAAGTAACTGGTGGCTCATCTTTTCCTCATGCTGTCTGATATGTAATGCATTGTGTCTGTAACATCCCGTCTTTCTCTTTTTGCAGCTACGTCTTCCTGTTGGACACAGGGCTGGAAATCTTTGTCTGGAGAGGAGCCAGTGCTACACTCAGCAACACCACAAAGGCCAGGTAAGACATAATGCTAGCATGTTGGGGGAACAGCTACACAGCCCAAGATGCAGCACTCCATAGCTGTGTCTGTGTGTTGTCATCCTCCAGGTTATTTGCAGAAAAGATAAATAAGAATGAGCGCAAGGGGAAGGCAGAGATTATCACCCTCATGCACAACCAGGAGCCTCCTGGGTTCTGGGAGGTCCTTGGGGGACAGCCGGAGGAGATCAAGAAGCACGTACCAGATGACTTCTCCCCCGTCCGACCCAAACTCTACAAGGTACAATTTTTCTATTCACCTTTTATACAAGACAATTCCCTACAGTGCAACCAGGCTGTGCTAGCTGTTTGCTGCAGACTCCAGTACAAGTGTACATCAGTTTAAGGCTAGTGGGTGTTGTAGGATCTTCTCTTGAGCTTTCTGCTTCACACAGGCTTGAGGTCAGATGTAACAGTTGCTGTACTTTAATAAATGACCTGTGTACAGTATGTGTTTCAGAAAACATGAGGTAATGAATGAATGTGAGAAAACGGTCAAACGGTTAATGTTAGAGCCTGCAGCAAGAAAATGTCTCTGACATGATGCATGAAACTCTTTTAAAAGATCAGAGAATCAGGATTCACTGATGGTTTCATTGTTGATCTTTGTCCTGTAGGTGGGCTTGGGCCTGGGCTACCTGGAGCTGCCTCAGATTAACTACAAGCTGTCAGTGGAGCACAAAGACCACAAGGTCAAACTGGACACCCTGCCAGAGCTGAGACTGGTACGTTTTATTTGCTGCATCATCACTAAAAGGCAGTAAAGCAGACATCCTTCCTGACCATTTCTTTCCTACTTCTCCTCCTCCTCTTGCTTCCATCCCTCTCCTCAGGTGCAGTCCCTGCTCGACACAAAGTGTGTGTATATCCTGGATTGCTGGTCTGATGTGTTCATCTGGATCGGGAGGAAGTCTCCACGTCTCGTCCGAGCTGCAGCCTTAAAACTGGGTCAGGAGATCTGCTCCATGCTGCACCGGCCCAAACATGCCTGTGTCACCCGCAACCTGGAGGGCGCCGAGTGTCAGGTGACCTGTGATGCTGCCTCACTTCCAAATACTCATGTTCTACACAGTGTAAGATCGACCTTTCACTGTCTGTCCTCTGCATTTTACTGTAAATTCCTCAGGTGTTTAAGTCCAGGTTTAAAAACTGGGATGACGTGTTGAAGGTCGACTACACCAGAGCAGCTGAGACTGTACAACAGAAGGACAATCTGCAGGGCAAGGTCAGTGATAACTCTGTTGTTTAGGAAAGACTCCTAGAATATGGAAGTATTCTCAAACCTGTTCATGTTCTTGAAGATAGGATCATCTGACTTTTAAGGGTACACAGACTTGGTTCAGGCAGTACGATGTCCAAACCAGATATCTGTCGGCTGTTTGTGTATGTGTGGTTAACAAAGTTTTTGTTTTGTTTTTAATCTGTGTTTGTGTTGCAGGTGAAGAAGGATACAGAGCAGAAAGACCAGATGAAAGCTGACCTTACAGCTCTGTTCCTCCCCAGGCAGCCAGCCATGCCTCTCACTGAGGTAAAACCTTAATACCCTTTGTTTAGACCAGGTAAAGCGCACAACAACACAGTCCTCAATCATTTCTCACATGTTTATCATTGCTGTCCAGGCTGAACAACTGATGGATGAGTGGAACGAGGACCTGGATGGAATGGAGGGATTTGTGTTGGAAGGGAAGAAGTTTGCTCGCCTGCCAGAGGAAGACTTTGGGCACTTCTACACACAGGACTGCTACGTTTTTCTCTGCAGGTGTGTGACACTGCACTGGACTCAAGCGGGGAACAAAGGTGGAAGTTTGTTTCTTGAGGGGCTAGCTTGATGCATGTATGTTCTGTGAACTGGTAATGTCCTGTCACTGAAAATTACAAACCACTGACTTGATGACATCTTGTTAGAGTGAGCTCTGATGTCACTTCCTCAGATACTGGGTGCCAGTGGAGTACGAGGAGGAGGAGAAGGAAAAGGAGGGTGAAGGCGGTAGAGAGGAGGAGGAGAAACAGCCAGAGGAGGACTTCCAGTGTGTGGTGTACTTCTGGCAGGGCAGAGAGGCCTCCAACATGGGCTGGCTCACCTTCACCTTCTCTCTGCAGAAGAAGTTTGAAAGTCTTTTTCCTGGAAAACTGAAGGTATGGTGAAAAGTTTATTTATTTTTTTTTTTTTTCTCAGGTACTCCATTTCTTCTGTTTGTGGTTTTTGTGCTGAATTTAAACAGTAGTGTGTTTGACTGTTTAGGTGGTGCGCATGACCCAGCAGCAGGAGAACCTCAAGTTCCTGTCCCATTTCAAGAGGAAGTTCATCATCCACAAAGGAAAAAGGAAACAGAAGATGGACTCTGCCCAGCCCTCCCTCTACCACATCCGCACCAACGGCAGCGCACTTTGCACCAGGTTCAAATGTCTCTCGTTAAGATTTATCCACATCAAGACTGTCATCTGCGTCGGTGTCCTCCACAGATGTTTTTCTCAAAAATTCCCAAGAGCTTTTTTTAAAGCTTTATTTTTTTCCATCTCTCTCATAGGACCATCCAGATTGGTACAGATTCAGGAAATCTTAACTCAGAGTTCTGCTTCATACTCAAGGTAGAGATTTTTTTTTTCCTCTTCTTCAGGTGACATCTGTTTTCCCCCTTATCTTGGTTTCTGTGTAACACTGCTTGCTGCAGGTACCATTTGAGAGCACTGACAACCAGGGCATTGTTTACACCTGGGTGGGCAGAGCCGCTGACCCTGACGAAGCCAAACTGGCTGAAGACATCATGAACAGCATGTTTGATGACACATACAGCAAACAGGTACGTCGGCGTACATGTGTCACTTTGATATTCATGTCTGCAGCCATTCCAAAGCTCAGATATTTGTGTATTTTCATAAAAAAACTGCCTTGGACAGATCCTTTGACAGTCTGAATGTCACAGCTCGACAGCCATGACTGTAATAATGACCTTAAGTGAAGTACTTGTGCGGCTGTGCTCATAGTTTTTTGATGCAAGCTTTGTCAAAGTCTTTTTTTTTTTTTATTCCATAAAGACCAATGAACAATTGAGATCACATTAAGGTTCAGAATTTAGTGGAACAGAGGCCTGGGTGTGATGTGACTTCAGCTCTCTTTTTCATTTTGTGTGCAACTTGAACTACAAGCCAAAAAACACCTTAAAGGATAATTTAGGGTTGTTTTTTTTTTACCTGAATTTTCCCTATAAACGTGAGTATGGCGACTAGAGCTAGTGCTAATTTTGCTGTCACTACCTCAGATAAAGAGATTCAGTGAATTGAAAAGTTGCATTAAACGGCATCACTGCAGCAACCGGTTAGCTTTTGAATGCTCAGAATAAATAGTCAAATCATTTTTCACACTGATCTGAGTCAGAAGGAAAACAAATACATCAGAGGCAGTGATAGCACAGTGAGCACCAGCTGCTGCCACTGTTAGGGGAAAAGACAGGTTAAAAAAAAAAATTGAGTTGACTTTGCAAAGTCCTGTACTTCTTTTCTCCTCTCCTACATCCACTGCTGGGCTTTGTTAAAAAAAAAAGGAAGTTATCCTTTAAGTATAAACTCCACACAAACTTCTCTCTCGCTCGTCGCTTCCACTTCTGAAACTGCTTTCATCTGTTATTGTTAAAGCTGATGTGATAATTGCATAAATTCATTTCCTCTTCTTGAATTTCAAGGCAATTTTAGCTCCTTTCAGCACTTTCATCGTACAGTATTTGGACTCAGCCACTTCAGCTTCAGTATTTATTAGTATAATCTCCTGTAAAGCGCTTTGGCCAGTGTAACACACTGTGAGAAAGCGCTATATAAAATACAGTCCATTTACCATTTAAACTTAAAATGTTGTAACAATACATTTTGCGTGAGTGAATATAGTAATGTCTCTGCTACGCAGCCCCACTGGTGTGTGCTTTAAAGGTATATTTTGTCTGCTAGGTGATTAATGAAGGGGAGGAGCCAGAGAACTTCTTCTGGGTGGGGATTGGCTCTCAGAAGGCGTATGATGAAGATGCAGACTATATGAAACATGCTCGGCTCTTCAGGTGAGCATGTTGTGGTGTTGTTTGACGACTTCTACAGTATTATCATTCTTGCCGTCAGTGTTTATCTTCCCTCCTTCTCTAATCCCTTGCTCTACGTGCTCTCTCTCTCTCAGGTGTTCAAATGAGAAGGGTTATTTCTCTGTGTCAGAGAAGTGCTCAGACTTCTGTCAGGACGACTTGGCTGATGATGACATCATGCTGCTGGACAACGGCAAAGAGGTAACAACTCTACACTGACATAATGTTCACATATTTCATTTTCTATAGTATAACTACTTTTCCTGTAGAGACAGTGTGTCAGTCTGAAAACCATGGCCACCGGTGGGGAAACAATTCCTCCTCTTCCTCAATTGACTTTGTATTAACTGAAGGTGTCATTTTGACAATTTGGTCTTTTTACAAAAAATTAAATACCTAAAAGCTGCTGGACAAAATATGAAGCTTTAAGAAGACAAAGTGGATAAGACCTGAGGCATTAGCAAAACAACCCCGGCGTGGCCTAAGTGCAACCTGTCTCTATGGAAGTACATCTCTGCCAAAGCATTTAAGGGCGGACAAACCACATTTTGAGCGCTACTCAGCATTTGAGAGCTTAGTCCCAGCTGTGTGTGCTTGTTCTGAGTCTGATTCCCCCCCCCCTTTTTTGTTTTAGTCTGTCTGTACAAAAAGTTTTGAATGTGCACAAAGGAAGTTTCGAGCGCTCTTCAGTTTGCAAGTCAGAATTAGTGTGCAGGCACTGAGAACAGAGACAGATCTGAGTGTGGGACAGAATCACAAGTGTAACACCAACATGGATCCTCCCCTGCTCTCAAATGTGATTCTGCTCTTACAGATCTGTGCCTGCACGCTCTCACACCCCGACTTGCAAACTGAAGAGCGCTTAAAACTTCCTTTGTGCACTTTTGGCACTGACAGACTTTCACACAACCTAGTGGAGAAATCTGAGAGCAAAGATTGAGAAACAAGCAGAGAACATTTTGGCAGGGATTTACTTCCATGGCTGAGATTACACACTCTTAGAGAGCTCAAAATGTGGTTAGACCACCCTAAAACATTTTGGCAGGGATTTACTTCCATATTTCTCCATTTGTAACTTTGTGTCCCTTCTTTGTCCCCTCTCAGGTGTACATGTGGGTCGGCACTCAGACCAGCCAGGTGGAGATCAAACTGAGTCTCAAAGGCTGCCAGGTCTGTGATACTGCATTTATGTTTACACATTTTGGTTTCATAAACCCACATTGTACTAATCCCTCTTCCTCCTCTCCAGGTTTACATCCAGCACATGCGCGCTAAGGACGCGGAACACCCGAGGAAACTGCGACTGGTGCGGAAGGGAAACGAGTCCCACTGCTTCACACGCTGCTTCCACGCCTGGGGAGCTTTCAAAACTCCCCCCTCATAGACAGATGCTCTGAATCATGCATATCGATTTGCTGCCATGTAGTTTTCTACCAGCGAGATGATGTCTGTACCTAAGCCAGCTTTACCTGAGCTCCGACGCCCCTCCATCCTGCTCAGCACCGCTGTCCGACAGCCTCTTGGCCAACAGGTCAGTCTTCTCCCAGAAACCTGAAAAACAGAGTTTAAGTTTAGCACAACATCCTACTCTGTGAAATGTCTCCTGGGCACGAGAAGAGGCTACTGTCTTGGTTTCCTGTCTGTGGGGAAAACAGCTCAATATTTTTTCTACAAGCTTTTTTTTCTTTTAGCAGTGAGTCTAAATGCTGTTGTTGAATGAAAGAAGAGAATTATGTTTTGAGGTGAAGTATTTATGAGGTGTGCAGAGGCTTTATGAAAACCCAAAGGGAGCTCAGGCCCTAACATATCAATCCATTTTGCTGCTTTCACGTGGCTCGTGCGGCATGGTAGTCTTCACGTTTCTGGGCTTAGTGCCTGTCTGCGCAGCTCATTAGAAGCAGTTTAAGGCAGATGAGCGCTATTAGTTTTGTCGTTGTCATCGAGGGACTGTAAAAAAAAAAAAGGCACTATAATTGTTTTTCTGAGGATTTTTGGTTTACACATATATATATATATATTTTTCTGTTGTGCGGACTACACGTGGTGTCTGCTAGCGCTCACCTCCTCTTGCTTGAGCTTTATTGTCATTTGGCAAAAGATGCTCTGGACAGTAATGTCAGTCATTTGTTCAAAGAAATCTGGAGGAGGTCAGGGTGTAGGTCAGGGGTTTTGGGATAAAGCCTTTCTTTCTGCTGAAGTTTAAGGATGGATGAGAACATGCACCTGGGAGATACTGAAACTATGTAACTGTTACAGGCTGCATTCAACTTGTCAAAATATTTCTATTTTTGAAAAGGTAAATGCATAATATTTAACTTTCAGGCCTATAGGATGTTAGTCTTTTTCAAATGTTTAATTTGGAACAAAGTTTTTTTTGGGGGGGGAGATGTGAGATCAGTTTAACTGACACAGACTATTTGCCAATCTTTAACCAAGACAAAATATTTAAAGCTCAACAAAAACCCTCGCTGTCACATGGCATCACTATGCTACACTTCCCTGTCTGTTGATTTGTCTAAGCTGTCAGTTTAACTGATCTCACATCAGTCTACATGATTATCGGCATCACCAGACTTTGGTCCAACTAGAAATCTCTGTATTCCCAAGAGGCTGCAACTTCCATTGTTTTCTTTTGCTGTACTGTCTTTTGTGGGAAGTGTGTTTTTGTCCTACACACATGAATATGTGCACAAGCTCCAAATGCCACCTGCAGATGCTTTATTTATGTATTTTATATAAAAATAAAAGCTCACATCACATTTTGTCTTTGATTATCATCTAGTGCATTAGATGTTGGCTTACAGTACGTCACACTATTGCAGGTGTTTTCATGAATATACTTGTGAGCCAAGCCAGAACACTTCAGAAAAATTTAGATATTCCAGCGCACAGGACAAATGTATTGTACGCAACTCTGATCAATGATTTTTGCATTTATAGCTTGTCATAATTATAATAATAATAATAAAAAAAACTATACAAAACTTTTAAAAAATGTTTTCACAGTGGAGAATGATACGAAAACTAAAGCTGGCTCCACCAGGTGACTCAAACAGTCAAAGCTCGACCTCAGCTCTCCTCAAAAGCACAAGCATGAACAGTGGTGACGCACTCACATCCCTTAATTAAAAGTAGCAATACCACAGTGTAAAAATACTGTTGCAAGTAAATGTCCTGCATTCAAAATGTTAAGTACAAAAGTGTTAGCATCAAAACATACTAAAGTACTCGTGCAAAATTTCATAATGTATATCATATAATTGGATGATAATGACTGATGCATTATTGTACATCACAATGTGGCAGCTGATGAAGGGGGAGCTGGTTTTAACCAGCTCATATGCTTTAAATTTGAATTACTGCTGTAGCTTGTGAATTTCCCATGAGGGATCAGTCAAGTCTTATAACCATTGCTACATTTTAGTATTAATCTGATTCTCAAAAGTAACTAAAGTTACAAAATGAATGTACTGGAGTAGAAAAGTGAAAAATTTGCCTCTAAAATTAGTGAAGTCAAAGTATGAAGTAGCAGAGAATGAAAATCCTCAAAACTGTACTTCAGTACTGGAGTAAATGTACTTGTACTGGAGTAAATGTACTTAGTTACTTTCTACCACTGAGCATGAGTTACCTGTAGATACAGAGAAAGCGTCATTTCATCATAGGAACGAATTCAAATCCAGAATCTCATTTACACCACTGGGCTCCTCAGTGTTTACACAACGTACCCAGTAGGCTTGTTGATGCTGTTCTCTTGATTCAGTAACATTATGATTCCATTCATTTACTTCAGATAAATACCAGTACTGCACAAAGTGCTTATCAGAATCTTGTAAACTTAAATTTGCATACAATCATCTTTAAGCTACCATACAACCACACAACTACCTTACAACACTTTTACATCTACCTTACTGCTGTTTCAGAACTACCATACAAATACTTTGCAACCCTCTTACATCTACCATAAAACTACCCTAAATCCACCTTAGTGTTAAACAGTTTTCAACTGTGAGTATAATTAACTACATCTAAAGTTGCTGTGAATTTCCTGAGAGCTAACTGGTGTCCAAGTAAGAAAAGCTAAACATAATGGAGCAATTACCAAAGGAACTGTAGACTATGCCAACACCAGACATTACATGGATTTAAAAAACAAAAACAAAACCATGAATGAGCTTCCTCTCAGGTTTATAGCTCTAGAAAGTGTCTGATGTGATCCAGTGGGAGGAGACAAAGCCGCTCCTGAAAGGAGAAGCATACTGGATACGTGCTTTAACTACAAAAGAACCTAACGGTCTAAATGAAGGTCTGGCTTTGGTTTTATGATGAAATGGTATTTCTCGGTTCCACTGTCAGGATTAGACAGCAGGTCGAGCTCAGAATACGTTATGACCTACCAGACTAGACGGAGTCAGGATATTTTAAATCATATGTGAGAACAATATATCTGCTTAGTTTTTCATGTAGGCTTCCCAACATGGTGATATTGATACATCCTTAACTATGATGCAAGTTTTATATTGTGTTTAGATAAATACATTATGTAGGGTGAAGTCAGTAATTTGGGACAAAGAAGGTTTTACATCTTGGGCTCTGTAAATATTAGCAGCCAATTAACATTAAATTGTTGCTACAATTGTCCTTTGTATGAAACAACCACTTTGATTGGTCTGATATAAATAGGATGGACAGAAGAAAGATTTCGACTTGTT